CCCCCCCCCCCCCCCCATCCCCCGCACATCCGGCAACCGCAGCTCGACCGAACGAAGTCGACCGACACACTCGCTGAAGAACTCTAGTACTGACTCAACACCAGAGAACATACTAAAATCGGGAAAAATCCAGAGCCTCTGACTTGATAACTAACCGCCATAAGAAGGCCGTCGGCACTTGCCTCCGAGAGAAGACCTGACTGTCATTGCACCTTCCCACCATGACCAACAAATCCACTCGAAGAAGGCCGTGCAGGCCCGCCCAGTTGCTCGTCGTCAGCCATGGTGTCGTCCCGAGCTCCGGTCTCGCTGGGGAAGAGGGGCTCCGTCGGTGAAGAGGCGCCGCATGCACCAGAGATGGAAACTAGAGGTAGGGACTTTGGTTCACAATTGATTACATAGTTCTTTTTTTTTTTTCAACGGCAAATGAACTTCAATAAAACTCAAACTACAGTACAACCCGAGCAACCAGCTGATTGCTAAGAACATAAAGAAGTTACAGATCAACGACCCCTTATAAGCCCACATGGCAACAAAGCACAAGAGAAAAACAATTAAGAAAGACTAACAAACTCAAAAGAGGTAAAAGAAGGCACCAAAGAGAAGACCTCATAAGCAATGAAGTTACAACCCAGATCAAAGTTCAGTCTCTTAACAAGCTTGAGCACCAAAGCCTTATTCTTCAGCCTGCAGCAACAATTGAGCCATCCTGCTTGGTTGGCCTTCAGAATGGCCCATCTTACCGCCTCCAACCACTGTCGTTCCTGTAGTGTCCCGTTCGAATAATAAGAGTCGGTTTATTTTATGCTTGTGTTCGCATCTCGTTTTCCTTGTTGTGTTAGCTCGACTAAATTTCTAATACGCTTATTACAATTATAGAGATGTCACCGTCTTTTAATCCAATAAGCTAAATAATTTTTGTACATATCCTTGTCTACTTAAATTAATTTCCTTGTAAATTGAAAACCGTTCGATTTCCTAAGTTCAAGTACAACCGTCTTTGTGAGCCTTTTATAGCCGAATTTCCAAGCAAAGTCCAAGATATTCAAAGCCTTATTTTTTTTCCCATTACGACTTCAAAAATTCGGCCCCATTGAGTCCAAAATTCGGGCCTCTTACCTTGTTATTTTAGCTCCCTTTCAAATTTAAACTAGTACGTACCCCGTGCGATGCACGAGATAGAGATATTAAATGAGTTATTTTCACACCCTTGTCCATTTAAGTAAAAAACATAATAGGGTTATTATCTATTTTCTACCTCTTTTAATCAACGTTAAGTCTAAAAAACAATAGGATTATTATAAGTTTTTTCCACTTCTTTTAACCAGCATTGTTTTTTTAGTCAGAACATTAAATATGAGCATGTTAGGGCTAGCTTGTAAAATAATTAATATATTATCTCACTAAAACGTTTATACTAATAAATATTTAATTTTAGCATATAGATTTTTCCCTTAATATAAGAGAAAGTAATAGTTTTATTTATGGTTGTTCACTATATAATATTTAATTATTATTTTATTATATAATAAAAATGAATACGGTTAAATAGTGTAGTAGAATTGTTATAAAATTATATGAATTATTTTTTTTACAATATGGGTTTAATATCTTTTTATGATTTGATAATATAATAATAATATATTCTTAATGATATAATAATATGAGATACGGATTTACATAATACTATGGATTTATTCCTTAATATTAAGATATTGAATTAGGTAATATATAATTCACTAATTTGTAATCTATCTCTTTTTATATTGAAAATAATCATGTGATTGAATAGAGATAACAATTATCTATAAATTCCTTCATTTAAGGAATAATTTTTAAATTGGTCTAAGTGTTGAATGCAGCCCGATTTCCTTGTAAATAAAATGAGAAGAAATTTTGAATTTCAAAGTTTCACTTCAAAACCACACGTAAATTTGGACTAATTTTTTTTCGTATTGAATTCATTCTGAAAAATGTAAGATTTATAAATTTATTTCGTAAATTTTAGTACGTAAAATTTCGGATTAAAAATATAATGATTATAAAAAATATGAATGATTGATCTATATAAATGTAACCCTAAATTATATATAGTCATTATATATTTAGATCATTACCTAATAAATTTGAATGCAATATAATGAATCAAAAATATAATCTATGTGTAATAATAAAAAATCTGATCGATTATATATATAAAATTAATATGTTACGATTAATCTGTGTAATAATAAAAAATCTGATTATAATGTCCCCAATCAATACCTAATAAATCTGAATGAGATTATTACGGTAAGTGAATTCATAAATTGTCTTCCTCAAAATATTTTATAATGATTATAAAATATTCTAATACCGAAATAGTAATGGCATTTAATTCTGTTGATTTTTCTGGATAATACATGTAGTAAATAAGATCCCTTTTTATATAAGTATAGATTCAAGTCCATAAGGCCAAAATTTTGGTAAGAATCTTCAACCTTATTTTTCCCCTTGTTGACCGGCCAAGAACCCTTCACTTGTGCGAATTATGTTATTCAATTTTTGGTAATAATTATCACATTCAATCCCCTTTATTTCTCTCTTAATAATCTCTCTTTTCCCTTGCCATATATGTTTTAGACATACACATTTTAGACCAAAGATCTCTCTCTTAAAACTTCTCCCCTCAAACACCTTTCAAAGCCCTCCTTCGGCATTCAGGCAAAGTCTGAACGCCCTCAGCCACCACAAGTGACCCGGAATGCCGCGAGCGCAGAGAGCAGCAGTCGCGCGCAAGCAGTGCCGCCAAGGAGGGACACGCCGTTCGTGGTAAGTCCATACAGCGTCTTGCCCAGGAGGGCCACCCCGAACAGCCGAGAGCATGTCGTGCCGAGGATCGAGAGCGACCGAAGCACATTGCCGAGCAGCAAGCGCATGAGGCCAGGCATGAACCTCACCTTATGCCCAGGAGGTACCAGGACTTGACATGAACCTCGCCTTATGTTCAGGGTGCAGAGTTCGAGTCCTGTGAATGGCAAAAACCACAGAGAGTCTGGAGATGGGTTTTCACCCTAGAACAAGAGCAATGTGAAAGTTCATGAGTCCTTGGTACATGATCATGGCCCACCGAGGGTCTGATACCCCCAGCGGGGAAGGCTGACTGTTACGACAGTCTACAATATAAAAGTCTATCATTCCGAACAAATAAAATAAAATAAAATTTGAANGATAAAAACTATAATATGTTCAAATGTTAGAATACATTCTATAGAAGTAAGAAGAGGTTGCAATATTATGAGAAATCTGCCCTTATGCATTCATTATTGGAATGTATTCAAATATCCGTAACTTACTGCTTTCTTTATATAGGAAAAGCATTCCAGTCAGATGGTCCTCAAGTGCTATCCAGAAACTCCAAAAAGATGGACATCTGAAACCAAAAAAACAAAAAGAAAGAATAAATGCATTAAAAAAAAAGGCACCAAATTTAATAAAAATATAGAAAAAAAAAAAAAGGAAAAAGAAATGTCGACTTTTGAATACAATTAAAAAAGTTGTGTCATCCACACAAACAAAAGAAAAATGGGTAGAAACTTATCATTTTTTCAGAACAAAGTGTTACTGCACCTGCTATAGTATGAATAATACTATGACATCGCCAATGACCTCTTGGCCTAGTGGTAAGAGTGAGGCACCCCTTGACATGAGGTCAAGGGTTCGAGCCCTCCGGAGCGCAATGGTAGAACAATTAATACTGAGAACTAGAAGCGGCAGTGTGGGAGGCTGAAACTCGGTGGGACAATTAATACTGAGAACTAGAAGCAGCAGTGTGGGAGGTGGGAACCAGTGGGAACTAGCGGCTGGATAGGTGGGGCCAATAGGTTGTGGGGCCAACTTGGGAGGCTGAAACTCGGTGGGAACCAGCGGCTGGATAGGTGGGGCCAACTTGTAGCTGGGAGGGCCAACGAGCGATCACTTGGGGATTGACTCGTTGTGCGCGGTAGTTGAGGGTATTAAGTACCTGGGGGCCATTGTGTGGCTACCGCGATTTAATTGAAGGCAGTGTCTGAAGGCCGGAGCTGTTTCCTCGAGGACTAGTCAGGCGCAAGCCTGGAACCTCGGTATCAAAAAATAAAAAAAAAATAAAAAAATAATACTATGACATCAATGATATGACAAGTATCACCAGCATTCATTTAGAAGTATATTTTATCTTCAAATCAAGGTCACACTCGTTGTGGCCCATGCAAGCCGCACTAAAGGTGCTCGCCCCTTATTCTCGCATGTGGTCCAAATTAAGTTTCCTTTCTTAGTACAAAAATGCAACAAATGAGGTTCACTTTCTCAAAAATTCGAGTTTTCCCCGTTTTGACATGGAAAAGAAAAAATCATTTCCTTATTATTACTCCTCTTCTTATGCCGAGGCCCGATCCGACTTTGAAGATCGTGCTAAATCATATAGTTTTAACGGGCCGAGGGATGACCCGGAAGTGAGGAGGAGAAAAAGGGTAGCAGGCTACAACATGTATGCTATGGAAGCTAAACTCAAATCCTCGTTGATAAGCAGCTTTAAGTGGATCAAGAACAGGTTTTCAGACAACTATCGTGACTCTTGAGAGCATTTTATCTTTTACGCCCCAAAGCGTATGTATATATCAAATTTGTCATATTATCCAAGTTTGTGTGTGTTGTGATGAGCCTTTGCTTGTTCTCTTTTACTTTTTCCTTTCTCGTTTTCCGTTTTAGCTTGTCCAAGGATTGTAATATTTGGCAATGGAGCTCAAGATTAATAGGAGCATGGCTTGGAGAAGAAAGGAAAATGGAAATGCTTACTAAAAGCTTGGTTGTGTAATCATATCTGATGCTTTCTATTTGCCATTTATTTGGGTATTTTGCTATTGTGTAGTTGGAATTTCTTAGATTCATGAAACAGTTTGCCCATGAATAATCTTGACTCAGACAGCAACTAATTTTGAGTTGTAACTTAAAAAAACAAAAACTTGAAATGCAATCACTAATGCTCATATGATAGAAATTCGTATAGCCAAAGGATCTATAAACTAACAAGTAATGATACCCTGAAGAACATATATATCCCAAAACAGACCAAGTTTCTATTCCGGGTAAACAATTTGGATAGTAAAAGAAAAATGTTTGGCCCTCTAAAATAAGAATCCAATTTTGAAGCTCTCATATGCTATTTGAGATTGGATCTTGCCCGAGATTGTTGATCAAAATGCTACCAGGGACAGTTTGGTAACCACTGCTGCATCGAAAATCGACTAATTTCACCCACTCCAATTTCTACTCTCCCACTTCGTGAGATTCCAAATTTCCACATGTCAAGATTTACCTCTTTACTTGTGTCATTATCGCTCGAAAACATCGTTTTTTCACGTGTTCTTGTGTTAAAAATGTCTCCCACCCAGATCAAGTATCAAAGGGTCCAAAAGCTTATCCTACAACACGAGTACATAATTTATTAGTTTGCCCATTATTGGCAACAGTGATTTAGTTGGAGATGAAATTGATAATGGGAGGACCAACCTAGGGATTGATTATTGATTTGTTCCTCATTAAAGGCACCCAGAGAATGAGGCGAAGGGCTTGTCTTGAGTTCTTGACAAGAAAAATTTTTCGGAAAAGCAGTCTCATTTTTCTACATGACCAAAAACAGACAAATTTAGCCTTTACATAACAAGTGCACATACACATAATATGGTAAGAGTCCCATAATAAAGTAAACTTGAATGAAAATCCCTACGAATAAACTAAACCTTGACTCCTATTGTGCTAATTTAAATTCCGACATTTGATGTAACATATCCACGCAACTATGTTAGAACACACTGTATAAATAGAATGAGCTTTGAAGCCTTTAAGATATGTAGGATGTTAGACCATACAGTTTTTCACACGTTTGGATTATTTTTAGTTTTCACTGGTCTAAGCCAGAACCTTCTCCACTTTCAAGAGTCAATGTTCAGATAACGTGTTATGAATGATCAGTTAAGATTGTTCCTACTTTTAGCTTTTCTATTCACGCCTTTGGGTTCCTGATAGAAACATTTTATGATTAAAAAAATAGTTACCGTATACGTTAATAACACAGTAGATCAGATTAAAATTTGTCAGTAACTGGCAGGTTCGAGCAGTGTATTTATTGTTCTTTTTTGTTTTTGCATAAGGCGCAGCGAAAGATGAAAAGGTTGTTATATTCCTATGCAGAGAGGTTGGGACATCAATGAAATGAATGTTTTTAAATGTAAAAACTGGTTATATAACATGTTGACAGTTAAAGATTTTTTCCTCCAGACTTTCCAAACACAATATGAACTGAGAGGGAGATGGTTGCGCCATTTCTTCATATGCACCAACACATCATGCCAAGCATACATCAATTAATTCAGCTAAAATCAAAATTTACATACTAAAGTTATGTTTTATAAACAAGTCCTACTCACAAATATGTCTAAATTTCCATTTGCTCTCCCAGATATTAATAGAAACTGAAGTAAACCCTGATCCCTTTTTAACCCTTTTTACACAGTCGAGTTATTCTCATGTTGAATAGACAAAACAATTATCTGCAGTGGTCAAACAAAACCATTAAGAAAGAATGAAAGACAAACATTAGCAGCCATAGGAAATAGAACCTGATTCGAGCTTGTCTCCTTGCTACACCCACTAGAGCCAACTCTTGCAACAGAAGTTTCTTTATCTATGCCTTTTTGAAGCTTCGGGACGGGAAAAGCATGACATGTCTCTTCAGCATCCAAGATAGACAGATGATTTGGCTCATGAGAAGATGAAGGTTTTGTCCATTTCGAACTCCCGTTTAACTGGGAGAAAATAAGAGAATCAGATGAACCAGATAAAAGTGTATTAGGCAGCAAGCCAGATTTAGCATCCTTTAACTCGGTGCCACCACCTCCTGCCTTGGCCTGCAAGGACACCTCGGACAACAGGCCTCCAATGCTCAAGGCAGTTAACTCATCAAACCACGGAGACTGGATTTGTGCTTGGCGTGCCTCAATTTTCTGTGCATCCGAGTTATTCTTGTTCGAAAGTAGAGATGCTTCAGACAATAAGCCCCCGATGCTTAAATCGCTGGCCACCAGGAATATGGGCTGCAAGGATGACTCGTTTTCTGGTCTCGTGCCAGGATTGCACATCTTACCCAACAGAGATGCTTCAGAAAGCAGATCGCCTATGCTGATGTCAGATATTAGTCCTACTGGCTGCATGACAGGCTTGGTAACCGAATTGGGATCTGATTTATTAAGTTTACCCTGCATTGATATTTCGGATAGGAGGCCTCCGATACTCAAGTTGGTCAAATTATCATCCCAAGGGATGGATGGGTGTACCTGTCAAAGACTCTCCTTTTAAGAATGATATGCAAACTCAGAAAGTCATCTATAGTCAGAAATGTACATACCCAAAATCTAGAATAAGTTGGGAGATAAAGGATGATGCTCAAACCCATGCCTCAAAGACTGGTCTAATTAGTGTAGGAATTATTTTAGATGAAACATTAGATTAAAGTTGCAGTAATATATCTAATAAAAATACTATGAATTATCTACTTAAATGGATAGTAGCACATATTCGAACGTCGAAACAAGCAAATCGAAATCAATAAAATGGATTTCGTGTAATAAGCTTGATATTCAGTCTTAAACAATTTATGATCTGTAGTGGGTGTCTTTTTAATAGTTTCTCTCCTCCTTCCAAGTGAAACAATCATTTCAGCTTTTGAAATTGATATTCACCAATATTTAAAGAAACACTGATAATCATCCTTATGAGTCTTTACCTTGTAATAATTAACATGCATATACCATAACAATCACTGCCTACCCATATTCCATTTTCTAAATCTCTCTAGATGCATTGAATTCTGAAAAGATGGGGTACAGAATTACCACCAAGTCAGCAGGCACGTCTAAAATTTTCTGCTCAGTCACAGCTGTATGCAAAGCATCATTCACATTGGTCTGATTTTCAAAATCTTCTCTATATTCGTCATGTTTTTCCTCTCTATGACCCTCGGGAAGACAAGTTTCAGGAGGCGTGCCAAACATCGGCTGCAGAAAATTGGAGCACCAGCCATACCTAGAAACGAAAAATAGTGAGTTGTATTGTTAGAAACAATATTATAACCTTGGGGAAATGAAAGTAACTCGCTTCAGACCTTAGACGAAAAATGGAAGGACTTCCCACATCAGCATACACCTCCCCAACAGTAGTAGAAGAATCATTCAAAGTCCATCTTTTGCATGAAGCTACTTGTTCCAATTTTGTACCGTAAGGGAAAACCATCAGTTGTCCTTTGGCTACACTTGAATTGCCCCATTTAGTATTCAGGTGTCTGACCACTGATGATATCCTCTTCCGAGCACTTAGAGTTAGTTCCAGAAATGGGTTGTGGCCATCCTGTAAAATATAACCAACCAACAACTTTTAATTCGTTTTCTATTATTCAGGGAAGAGTAGGGAGGAGAATTTCATACCTTCTCCAATTTCATGCGGGTTTCTTCATTTATCGGGAATAGCTGCAGCTTGACCTTTACAGTGGGAATCTGCAGTTGAATTTGAGGCTCCAAATGAGGCATCCCCATACTTTCTGCAGTATAAACACTATTACATGTGACCTTATATAGAAAAAAACTGTTGATGCCAGAGGATAAAAATTATTTTCAGCACAATCAATTTCCACATTTTGATAAAAGGTTCAGAAATAAGCAAATCTATTTGAACATAAAAATACCAAAGAGAAACACACAACCACACAACAAGTGTCCATGAGTAACGAAAGTAAAAAATGAAGTCTCCTATGTAGTGGAATAAACTCTGTAGTCAGTAGGTTTCCCACATGCCACAGACAACAATCAAAAAATTAATTTTGGTTGCCCAACCTGTAGCTTTCTGAGACACCCTGCTAGCCCCATTTGCAGACTTCTTCACGGACACACCCATGTATTCGTCTTGTTTTCTGCTAACATCAACAGTTTTTCTCTTTCGTTGTTTGTTGGACTTCATGGAAGATTTTCTGGAATAAATTCAGATATAGAATCTCATTACAACACATAATCAGTCTCCTGACATCCAATAATGGATTCTTCAATTCCTTTATGCCAGAAACACACGAGCAGGTGCAATAGATTATTTAGAAACAGGACTTATCATGAAATGCCACATTACATATTTCCACATTGTCAGTTTAGAAACCAGGAAAAGCAGATAATTTGTTGTTTGCTTATGTGCAAGGAANTAATATACCATGACAACAAAAGACCAATTCCAGTTACCTGAAGATAATTTACATCTCTAAGCATATGTACATAGAACCGTGCAAGATGTTAAAATGACCGATTTACATATGTAAACACTAACCTCTTAAATCAACTAAATCAAATAGGTCAACATATTGAACTTCGTACGCCTTCCGGAATTGGCGAGAATTCCGAATAGAATAATCTGCTTCAGCGAAACCCAGCAGTGAAATTAATCAGTATGTATGAATAGCAAAACCATTCAAAGACAACAATAAACTACTAAAATCCCCAAAAAAATTAAAAATAAATAAATAAAAAACAAAGTTTGCGCAAGAACATCGGATCTCACACATATACAACATCAATTCGCATATATACACAAAAACTACCTCAAAAAGAGGTGAGTTTCGGCCGGTAGCAGGTGTAAATCCGCTTCTATGCGTCTTTCTGTGTATCAATTTTGACGGTGGAGCCGTGGCGGGAACAGACTTCAGGTGAGTCGCCGCCTTAATTTTTCATATTTCGATTTGAATCAGTTTTAAACTTTTGTTTTTCCCCGTCAAATAAATAAATAATAATGTGCCTAACTTATCATCTGATCACTGATGTATGCCTCAGATATATAAGCCCATTAGCATATCCGCCCAGTCTAATTGGGCTTTTAAGTTTTATGTAGCCCACTATTAAATATCTTTTTTATTATAGAGGAATTTACACTCAATATCAATTATATTACACTTATATTCTCAATATAGTATTATTTATAAAATTACTTTCCCAAGCCAAAATTATTACAAATCTACCAAATATGCAATTAATCGTTAATAACGAAAAATTCTGACAAATTTATCGCAATTAAGATAATTAACCAAGGTAACTGTAAATACAAAATATCCGCTCCAAGATTGCAATTATTCTGCAAAAAAAACCACCCACCCACCGCCCCACGTTCACAAAACCTCTCTTCGTTTTTCTCCACTTCAATGGCCAAGACCAAAGTTCCACCGTCTACCCAAAAAAAAAAAACCAAGAGAACGAAACACCACAGATAAGGTCTAGTTCCCTTCATCGTAAACTTCATTCAAACACCAATCCCAAACTCGTACAGAAAACTCATATTCGAGAAAAAAATGAACCCTAACCCATCGAAAGCTCGCAGGCAAAGCTAGAGTGCAAAAACACATTTCATCCCTTGACTCAGGCGATTTCCAGTCTGACCACGACCATAAATCGACAAAATTCAATCGGGGGAACCGTAAATCGAAAATGCCTAAAGCCACTGAAAAGGAGAAATCGTCTGACCCCGATTTTAAAGAAGATATTCAACCCGAAGACGTCGATAGCGAAGAATATTTGAGCGATAGCCATAATCAACGAAGAATTTGTCATGGTCCTCACATTTTGCTTGACTAAGCATGTTATGTAGTCATTTGTTCATGGCATATTTTATAGGTGAATTTTTGTGTTGTCTCCAACAACATAGTGGTCCCAGAGTTGAAGAAGATTATAAAAGTTGCCCTAACAGTTGTTATATGGGTGATTATATGCACTAAATCGGAAGAAGATTATAAAAGTTGCCCTAACAGTTGTTATATGGGTGATTATATGCACTAAATCGGTGGACGAGATGAGCTTAGTGTGAACTATTCTAGTATGATGGCATGATCACTTTATAATATGTTGCTGTAATGTTTTAGGTTATACTGCTTCTATCTTTATTTGAATGTGTTGAATGATATCATCGATTGGGTTAACTTGCCTAACATTACCATTTAACAGTTGGTATATAATCTGTATATTTCAAGTATATATCACTGTCATTGTGTCCAACCCATTTCTATTTTGTCATATCTTTTTCTGTTTTTTTTTTCTCCCCAAGTATATGGCTAGTTGATTTAAAGTATATGGGATATTTTATTCCATGTATAGACACATTTGTGTAATGGTCTTATCTCAAGTATATTGAAATTTTTACTCTCTGTCAAGTTATGCTAAGTGTGTAGGATTTATATCAAGTTTATGCTAAGTAGGTGTTGGTTATATATCAAGTATATGATAAGTATATGACAGTGTGATATAGTATTAATAAACTATTCAGGTTCATATACTTTAGAGTATATACTTATCATATAATCTTGGACATGCTTGGGACATGCTTCATTAATTATGTAACAGTTGGTATATGATCTGTATATTTCAAGTATATATAACTGTCAGTGTGTCCAGCACATTCCATTTTGTCATATTTTTTTCTGTTTTTTCATCCCAAGTATATGGCTAGTTGATTTAGGTAGTGTTTGGTTCGAGGGATTTGGAGGGGAGGGGAGGGGATGGAAAATTTTAGTTTTCTCTTGTTTGGTTGAAAAATTAGGAGGGGAGGGAGAGGAAAATTTTAGTTTTCTCTTGTTTGGTTGAAAAATTAGGAGGGGAGGGAGAGGAAAATTTTAAGTAAATTTCCCTCCCCTCCCTCACTTTACCTCCCCTCCAAAATTGGAGGGATTTGGAAGGAAAATGTGTTAAGATGGTGTGAAAATACCATTTAGTCCCTACTTTCAATTGTTTTTTTATTTTTTATCTTATTTCATTAAGGGTAAGTTTGTCATTTTAATTTTATTTTTCCTTCCTTTAATTTTTGAACCAAACAAGGTTTACTATTTTCCCTCCCTTCCCCTCCTGAATAATCCCTCCAAACAAGGTAAAATTATTTTACATCACCTCCCCTCCCCTCTCTTCCCCTCCATTAAAATCCCTCCCCTCTCTTCCCCTCCATTGAACCAAACACACCCTTAAAGTATATGGAAGAGTTTATTCCTTATATATAGACAAAATGATGTACGTTTTAGTGAATGTCACAAAAAAAATATACATAAATAAAAATACATTAACAAATACCAATAAAAAAAATACGTGAAGACAAATCCTGAACGAAAAATATACCTCACAATCGTTCTTGATAGAGAAAATATACTCCACAATCGTCCTTTCAATTTATTTATTTATTTATTTATTTTTTGCGTGAATCGTTCTGGACAAAACCAGGTAACAGGAAGACAAATACTGATCGAAAAATATACCTCACAATCGTTATTGATGGACAAAAATATACTCCACAATCGTCGTTTCACTCTTTTTTTTTTNCACAATCGTCAGTATATTTTCCTTGACATTTTGTGAGTAATCCTGATGAGTATTCTTCAAAGTCAATTTTTCCATGTTTCCAATTGATATGCAAAGTCGTTACAGATAGGATTTGTTTTTTTTAGAAACAAAACGAAGTTTTTGGTAATTAGCAAGGGGGAAGACTTCTATCTGCCGAAGAAGATCTTCTATCCCTCGTACCAATATCCGTATTTTCAAAAGGAATGGTGGCTCAACTGCGGTCGGCGATGGGGACAATGCGTTGTCGGTGCTGACCAATTTTTTTACTGGAAAATGTAAGTTTTTTCTAATTTATTCGCATTTTGCATTCTAATTGTCTCATTGTTTTATGCCGACAGGTCGGTCTTTCGTGTTTTCAGTACGAGAAGCGGCTCCCGAACTCAGACAGATTTTTGTCAACCAGTTAGATCTTTTACTTGGAGAAACTCAAGGACAGATATTAGACAGATCTGGTTAAGGACGAACTCTTAGGTAAACACGAGCTGAACCCGAAGTTTGTCGAATATAACTTTGAACCAAGTCGGTTGCCTTTCTGTCGCTAAAAGTGGCGTCATCCGCACCCTTGTGCATAAATGAAAAGGCGGTCATGATAAAAATACCCTGCACACCATACTAGAGAGTCTAACAATGCAAACACTTACGCGTCTTCAACCATAAAAAGTGCCACATGTCCCATTAAAAGAGACGATCGCTCTTTATTATTTTGCTATTTCATACAACAGTTTATCGATCATCTACATAAATCATATCATCCCCTTATTTGATCATAATCCATACTCCCTTTTAATCACGTGATTAAGGATCGTTGACGATCGCTCGTCAACAATTATTAACCATAGTTAATTTTAAAAAATATGTCATGATTAATTGTTAGTGGGATTTTGAGTTTATTTTAAAATAGTATTTAAAATAAAATAGTAAAATTGATTTGATGTAAAAGTAGGAGAGATGCGATGTGACATGATGGTTGGTTAAAATTATGTGATTTGATGAATAATTAATTAAAGTCGATGTGATTTGTAATAATGATTGATTGTTATTATTTAATTATATTGATAATATTTAGGATAGTGTGGTTAAGTTAAGTTAGACTTGAAAAAATGATTGAGTTACAATATATTGGTTTCTTGATCAAATCCATATCAATATCTTTCAACAATTTAGAGAGAATCGAAAAGAGCAAACTCTCTCCAAATTACCCTCTTAAAGTTTAATTCTCATTTTTTTTATACATTATTTTTTTTTATTTTATAAAATATAAATGATGAATTTGATCGGTAACAATTAGAAAGTGTGGGTCCTTGTTTGCAATCTTTCACTCACCAAAGAAAAGGGGAAAAAGGTCGAACTATATTGGGTTTTAGGATTTTTTTGCAACCATAAACAAACCCGTTGACCTATTTTTCAGGGTAGTAAACGAACAAAACAAGACATGTTTTTTTCCATTCATTTGTTCCCTTTATCCCCTCATGAGAACCTGCTAACACCAAGTCTCTTCCCTCCTTTTCCACTCCATATACAAAAACCATCAGATTCAGAATGTTAAATAAAATCTGATGAACCAAATATGGGGTCATCTGAAATAAAACCACCCTTTATGGCCATAAATTTGATAATAACATCACTACTAATCTCGTGTTGTTGGTTTTCAACGGTGGATTGCGTAATCAGTATAAATTGGGGCAGGCAAACAACGCACAGGTTGATCCCGTCCATGGTGGTCGACTTGATGTTACAGAATGAAATTCGTCATTTGACGCTCTTTAGCCCCAGCGACAATGTCCTGAGAGCCTTCGCCTCATCGGGCATTTCCATCACGATAACACTGCCCAACGAGTCCCTTAAGGATATTAAATATCCCCTCATGGCATCATATTGGTTGCAGCAGAGGGTTCGTAAGTACCGGAATCAAAACGTCGACATAAGGTAATATTTTATTTTTTTTTTGGATTTTCTTTTACGTTTTCTGGTTGCGGTTTCATTTCATTGGATCGACATGCATGTCGTGTATGTTTGTGTGCGTGCGTGCATGTATGGAGTGAATCAAAGGTACATTTTGTTGCTTTTCAATATTTGGTTTTTTGACATTTGTTTATAAAATTAATTCCTGGAAAAAGTAGTTCTTCTTTAGCATTTTCACGGGATCAAATTTTACATTTATTTATACATTTTAGCTAGAATCTCATAGTTGTAGGATTGATGCTTTGAATTCTACCACTAGTTTGAATATTGTGATTAGACAAACACTCGGCTAGTAACTTATTACCCGTTCTCAATTACTTCATTGGATTTATTTTTTTATTTTTTTTTTTTGAAACAAGACAATCAAGTCTACTAAATTTTGTTAAAAGTCATGCAAACATTCTCCACGACAAGAAATTAACACAAAGATTTGCCAAAGGTAAAGTGGTTCAGATCATGCTAAAGTTTGAGGTTCAATTCTAGCAGCCCGTGCCTTGCCGAATTTATTATCCTCAAAAAATGATGGACCTTTGCCCAATCTAGCTATATATAAAAACAATAAATTTAATTTCAAATTCGAGTAAAGTAACATATTTTTGAATGACAATATACATTAATACAATTTGGTTAAACTTGTTTAAAATTCGACAGGTACCTCTTTGTTGGGAGCGAACCCTTCTCAACGTACACACGTAAGAACACTTACGAGTTGGCCCCCATTGCATTGAGGCTAATTCAAGACTCGATTATTGCAAATGGTTACGACAACCTCATTGCAACCATCCCGCACTTCACAGATGTGCTGACGCCCAACTTAATGAAGCCTTCAGAGGCCGACTTTCGGGAAGACTTGAAGGAACGGATGGTGGAGATTATCCACCTTCTCAACAGAACTAATGCTCCCTTTGTGTGCAACATCTTCCCCATCTATTATGTCATGAACCACACGGACGATGGTTGGGATCCCGAGTTTGCTTTCATCAACAACAAGTCGAATTTCACGGTCGAGGACAATGGCCTAGTCTACCGCAACGTGTTTGAGTTTTTGTACGACTCTTTCCTTCACGCCATTGCAAAAGCCGGGTCGCCAGGTACACTACATGGCGTAAGTTTTTCAGAAATCGGCGCTCATATAAAAAATGTGAATTAGTTGATGAATAATTTGTACTGTCCCACTTTTTTTTAGCCTTTTTTCACTTTCCAAAATGAAATATAGCCTCAATGTTGACTCCAATGAAATATAGTCGTGCAGTGGCACAATTACCCTTACTAGAATCCCAGATTTCTAGAAATGGTTTCTGATAGTAAGGGTAACTGCGTCATTTCACACTTCCCCCAAAAAATGACTATATTTCATATTTTATATAAGGCTACTTACCAACATTATTACGAATTTGTATGGGTTAGGTATGGAGCTAATGGTGGGAAAGATCGGGTGGCCGACGGACGGGTACGTGAATGCAAACGTGGCCAACGCGGAGAGGTTCTTCAAGGAGTTTCTGCCGTACATAAGGAGCAACAAGGGGACGCCTCTTCGGCCAGGGGCCTCGATAGACGTGTCGATCCACTCACTGGCGGACGAGAACAAGAACTACATAAACATGGCCCCATTCCAACGCCACTGGGGTGTCTACTGGAGCGACGGGCAGCCCAAGTACAAGATCGACTTCACGGGTCAGGGCCGCGACATCTTTCCCACTACTGCCAAGGGACTCATACACATGCCCCGAAGGTGGTGCATATTCAACGGCGACTCATCAGATATCGACAAGGTACCTACTAATTTTTTATCTTTTCTTTTCATGCATTATTAAAACGTGTTGTTAACATTTCTAGAAAAAAAACAAAAAACAAGGTGAGGTTACAACTGGGGGAGGCGTGCAAGTTGGCAGACTGCACGACCCTGTCCCTCGGAGGCTCGTGCAGCCACCTGGAGTTGAGGCAGAACGTGTCGTACGCATTCAACATGGCATTTCAGGCAAACGCGCAGGCCGACATCAAAGGGGCCACCTGCGACTTTGACGGCCTCGGAGTGCTTGTGCCCGAAGATCCCTCCAACGGGACGTGCAAGTTCCCAGTCGAGATTCTCGCGGCTGAGAAGGCCGACAGGGACGGCCTCACGGATAGCGGCGTCGAGAGATCCGACTTGTCTAGGTTTTCGTTTTTCATAACCTTAATCACTTTTGTTTTCATTTTGGGTTAATTTGTAATAAGGGTGGGCATGGGGTTATGAGTGGATCAAATGTCCTGAGCTGATTTTGCATGTAATTCTGTAATTTATAGAAACAAGTAACTAATGTATGAGATGAAATCAACTCATTTTTATTAGGATGGGTTTGGTTGAGTTGGAATTAATTAATTAGTGATGAGCTTGGTTAGTTACTAGTCGCATTAAGAGTCATTCTCACTGGAGCGCGATCCTCTATATATATATATATATAGACAAAATTGCATTTTATACCCTGTGACTAGAGGTGTGTGACAAATGTGGACAACTTCTTTTTGGTTTGACAAAAGTGCCATGAAACTTGTTAAAACCCGAAATTCGTGCCTAATTTAGGCACGAATTTCGGGTTTTAACAAGTTACTGTCCTGTTTTGCCACACGAAAAATCGGTCAAATCCAGTAACTTGTAGGTAATTGGGCACAAATTTCGGGTTTTAACAAGTTTTGGGGCACTTTTGCCAAACCAAAAAGAAGTTGTCCACATTTGCCCCACACACATAATTACTATAT